CGTCTCCTCCCCCTGGGCCAACCAGTCGGAGTCCAAGCCTTCCCGAATCCGAGCGACTTTGTCATACAGATACTGCGCAAAATCCTCTGCCCTCCCCTCCAGGGGGTCCCCCCCCCTCCAATTGGAGGAGAGAGCGGGTTACCCTGAAGAGGGCGGCCGGGCGATTATCTGATGACGCGATGAGTGAGGCATAGTAGTTTCTTATAGTAGTTTCTTATAGTTTCTTATAGTATTCATATACTAGTGAAATTTTGGTACTGGAATTTGACTACCTTTCAATTGATATATCTACTCAATTTAATAACACCTAATTATATATTTACTATTTACATCTTAAGGTTAATAATCTATTGTCTGAAACATTTTGATTTTTATTGGAATTTATTTTGATACGGATATTACAAAAGATTCATGTGTCTACAGTGTGTACATTGACAATTTTTTTCTGGCTATTAGTATTGCAGTTGATTTTACTTTTGCTTCTTGCTTTATTTATAGCAAAGCATTTATGTTAGGAGCAGGAAATGAGATTGTTAGGTATAGGCTATAAAGAACATAGTAATAAAAGCTAATATAAGAAAATATTAAAATTTGTTGTAAGATGGAAAAGTGGGCTGCATTCTCAACCAAATGTGTTTATTAAAACATTCTTTGACAAAAATGAGTTGCTTTTTTAAATTAAAGTTTATGAGCAGATAAGGTAAGAAAATATATTTTTTATAGTATATTTAGAATTAAAACTACAAAAAAATGACTTGAAAACTTTAATAACAGGAAATACATCTCTGTCATTCTCTTGGTTGTCATAACTACTTTTTCTCAAATTGTGATAAGGTTAAGTAACATTAATGACTAACTTGAACAAAGAATCTTTGTTTCAAATGTAATATAGAATATTTACATTTAATATTGTCTCCATGGAAATGTTTATTGTATTTTTTGCATCAGATATGATTTTCCAAAGCCTCAGCTTTCTGAGAGGATGCATTTGGCGGTGGTAGCCTGTGGTGAAAGATTGGAGGAAACTGTTACTATGTTGAAATCAGCTATTATTTTCAGCATCAAAAGTCTTCAGTTTCATATTTTTGCTGAGGAATCATTACACAGTGACTTCAGAGAAATAGTAAGTATTCATAAAAGAATGTATGCTTGGATTACGCTTGTATTGTTTGTATTTTTCCATTAAACTTAAGTCTGCTTGCTTTCAGTATCTAAATCTGCCAAGATCTATATTCTGTGAAGTATTTTTTTTACTTTATAACTGGAAAGCAATATATTTCCAAGAGCAAAAAGCATGTAATTTGGGTATAGTGTGACCGTCTGGTGGATGTGTTGAACCCCTGCTATCTTCTCAGTCATAAGTGGAGCTACACTATAGTATTCAGCAATTGCATTGTCTCCAGTTCTTTGAACTCTAAAGTTGAAAAAAAAATGAGTAATTAGAAATTGTTATAGAAGATGTTCAGGCTATCCAGTACAGATGGTCCTTGACTTACAATAGTTCTTTTAGTGATCATTCAAAGTTACAACGGCACTGAAAAAAAATGACTTATCACCATTTTTCACACTTAAGCCTTTTGCAACATCCCCATGATCAAAATTCAAACACTTGGCGACTCATATTTATGACAGTTGCAGTGTCCTGGGGTCAGATAATCACCGTTTGTGACCTTCTTACAAGCGGAGTCAATGGGGAAGATAGATCCACTTAACAACTGTGTTACTAACTAGCAACTGCAGTGATTCACTTAACTGTGAATCACAGCAAGAAAAATGGGGCAAAATTCACTAACAACTATTTCTCTTTCTCTCTGCTTAACTCATACTTTGCATCAGTCTTCACACAAAAAGAAAGTGTAGCCCAACATACCAAAAAAACCACTGCAAAAGATAAATTAGAAACAAAAATTAAAATAAGCAAGAAAATGGTAAGAGAACACCTATTCGACCTTGACGAATATAAATCACCGGGGCCTGACAGATTACATCCCAGAGTTCTGAAGGAGCTGGCAGATGTTATCTCAGAATCATTGCACCACATCTTTCAAAACTCCTGGAGCACCGGGGAAGTACCTGAGGATTGGAAAAGGGCTGATGTGGTTCCCATCTTCAAGAAAGGGAAAAAAATGGGCCCAGGAAACTACAGACCAATCAGTTTAACATCAATACCTGGGAAGATTCTAGAAAAGATAATCAGAAAACAGATCTGAGAACAACTAGCAGCAGACAAAATTATAACTAGTATGGGTTTGTTAAAAAACGATCATGTCAAACCAATCTTATTTCATTCTTCGACAAAGTGACTAAACTAATAGACCAGCAAAATACTGTGGACATAGTATACTTAGACTTCAGTAAGGCATTTGATAAAGTAGACCACAACCTACTCCTTGGTAAGCTAGAAAAAGGTGGAATAGACATCTTCACCACCAGATGGATCTGTAGCAGGCTGGCAAGCCGAACTCAATGAGTAGTCCTCAATGGCACTACATCCACATGGAGAGAAATAAGCAGTGAGGTACCACAAGATTCCGTCTTAGGCCCAGTACTCTTCAATATCTTCATAAATGACTTAGATGAGGGAATTGAAGGGGAACTCATCAAATTTGCAAATGACACTAAACTGGCAGGAGTAGCCAACACCCCAGAAGACAAACTTAGGATCTAAAAAAATCTTGACAAACTTGAACAATGGGCCCTATCCAACAAAATGAGTTTCAACGTGGAGAAAAGCAAAGTTTTACATTTAGGCAGGAAAAATCAAAGGTACAAGTACAGATTGGGCAAGACCTGGTTTAAAAACAGTAATTGTGAGAGAGACCTTGGAGTCCTAGTGGACGATCACTTAACCATGAGCCAGCAGTGTACAGCAGCCGCCAAAAAAGCTAATACAATCCTGGGTTGTATAAACAGGCATAGAATCAAGATCACACGAGGCATTAGTACCACTTTATAAAACCCTAGTAAGACCACTGAAATATTGCAGTCAGTATTGGTCACAATATCACCAAAAAGATGATGAGAGTTTGAAAAAAATTCAGAGAAGAGCAACTAAGATGATCAAAGGCCTGGAGACTAAAACATACGAAGAACTGCTGCGGGACTTGGGTTTGGCTAGTCTAAAGAAAAGAAAAAATAGGGGGGACATGATAGCAATATTCCAGTATTTGAGGAGCTGCCACAAAGAAGAGGGGATCACATTATTCTCCAAAGCACCAGAGGGAAGGACGAGAAACAATGATTGGAAATTGATCAAAGAGAGAAGCAACCTGGAATTAAGGAGAAACTTCCTGACAGTGAGGACAAACAAACCAGTGGAACAGCTTACCCCCAGAAATCATGGGCATTCCATCACTGGAGATTTTTAAGAAGAGACTGGACAGTCACTTGTCTGAGATGGTATAGGTTCTCCTACTTGAGCAGGGGGCTGGACTAGAAGATCTCTAAGGTCCCTTCCAGCTTCTATTCTATTCTATTCTATTCTATTCCTATTCTAAGAACTAAGTATAATAGCAAGCTGGAGTGCTCACAGCAGCAGCTGAGAGCACATGGCAGAGCAGCTGAGCTGCGGCTAAGGGCCCAGATCAGAACATCATACCTAGAAACCCCAGCATTGGCCAGGCAGCTAAAGGGCAAGAAGGCAGAGAGGAAAGGAATAAGTACAAAACACTTGTGGTCAGGGAGCACCACCAGATGGATGGATGACAAACCAAACTCAACAAGTCATCTTTAATGTTATTGCATTATGAAGATATGAAGGGAACGTTTCATGCAAAGATGGGCATGATAAAGGACCAAAATGGAAGGGACCTAACAGAGGCAGAAGAGATTCAGAAGAGGTGGCAAAATTACACAGAAGAACTATACAAGAATGAGCTTAGCGTCCCTATTAACCATGATGGGGTGGTCACTGACCTCGAGCCAGACATCCTAGAATGTGAAGTGAAATGGGCCTTAGGAAAGCTGAGCAACAACAAAGCTAGTGGAGGTGACAGTATTCCAGCTGAGCTATTCAAAATCTTAACAGACGATGCAGTAAAAGTGCTACACTCAATTTGCCAGCAAATTTGGAAAACTCAACAGTGGCCACAGGATTGGAAAATGTCAGTTTACATTCCAATTCCAAAGAAAGGCAATGCCAAGGAATGTTCAAACTATCGCACCATTGCACTCATTTCACATGCAAGTAAAGTTATGCTTAAAATCCTACAGGCTAGACTCCAGCAGTATGTGATTTGAGAACTTCCAGAAGTATAGGCAGGATTTCAAAGAGGCAGAGGAACTAGAGATCAAATTGCCAACATACGCTGGATTATGGAGAAAGATACGAAGTTCCAGAAAAACATCTACTTCTGCTTCATTGACTATGCTAAAGCCTTTGAGTGTGTGGATCACAACAAATTGTGGCAAGTTCTTAAAAGAGATGGGAGTACAAGAGCATCTTATTTGTCTTTTGAGAAACCTATATGCGGATCAAGAAGCAACAGTGAGAACTGGACACGGAACCACTGATTGGTTCAAAATTGGGAAAGGAGTCTGGCAAGGCTGTATTCTGTCGCCCTGCCTATTTAACTTATATGCAGAGCACATCATGAGAAAGGCAGGGCTAGATGAATCAAAAGTTGGAATTAAGATTACCGGGAGAAATATCAACAACCTAAGATATGCAGATGATACCACTCTAATGGCAGAAAGTGAAGAGGAACTAAAGAGCCTCTTGATGCGGGTGAAGAAGGAGAGTGCAAAAGTTGGCTTGAAACTCAACATTAAGAAAACCAAGATCATGGCATCCGGCCCTCTCAATTCCTGGCAAACAGATGGGGAAGAAATGGAGGTAGTGACAGATTTTATCTTTCTGGGCTCCAAGATCACCACAGATGGGGACTGCAGCCAAGAAATTAAAAGACGCTTGCTCCTGGGGAGAAAAGCTATGGCAAATCTAGACAGCATACTAAAAAGCAGAGACATCACCCCACCAACAAAAGTACTATAGTCAAGGCCATGGTTTTCCAGTTGCAATGTATGGCTGTGAAAGTTGAACCATAAGAAAGGCTGAGCGCCAAAGAATTGAGGCCTTTGAACTATGGTGCTGGAGAAGACTCCTGCGAGTCCCCTGGACTGCAAGGTGATCAAACTGGTCAGTCCTAGAGGAGATCAACCCTGACTTCTCTTTAGAAGGCCAGATCCTGAAGTTGAAATTCAAGTACTTTGGCCACCTAATGAGGAGGAAGGACTTACTGGAGAAGAGCCTAATGCTGGGAAAGATTGAGGGCAATAGAAGAATGGGACAACAGAGAATGAGGTGACTGGATGGAATCACTGAAGCAGTAGGCATGAGCTTAAATGGACTCCAGAAGATGGTAGAGCACAGGAAAGCCTGGAGGAACGTTGTCTATGGGGTCGCGATGGGTCGGACACGACTTTGCAACTAACAACAACAAAGCAGTGGGGTACCACAAGGTTCTGTCTTAGGCCCAGTACTCTTCAATATCATCATAAATGACTTGAATGAGAGAATAGAAGGGGAACTCATCAAATTTGCAGATGACATTAAGCTAGCAGGAAGACCCCAGAAGACAAGCTTAGGATCCAAAAAGATCTTGACATACTTGAACAATGGGCCCTATCCAACAAAATGAAATTTAATGTGGAGGAAACCAAGGTTTTACACCTGGGCAGGAAAAACCAAAGGTACAAGTACAGATTAGGTGCAACCTGGCTCAAAAACAGTAACTGTAAGAGGGACTTTGGAGTCCTAGTGGACAATCACTTAAACATGATGCAGCAATGTGAGGCAGCAGCCAAAAAAGCTGATACAATCCTTGGTTGTATAAACAGTGGCATAGAATCAAAATCACGTGAAGTATTAGTACTGCTTTATAAAGCCTTAGTAAGTCCATACCTGGAATACTGCATCCAGTTTTGATCACCACATTACAAAAAAGATGTTGAGACTTTGGAAAAAGTACAAAGAAGAGCAACTAAGATGATTAAAGGCCTGGAGACTAAAACATATGAAGAATGGTTACAGGATTTGGGTTTGGCTAGTCTAGAGAAGGGAAGGACAAGGGGGGACATGATAGCAGTATTCCAGTATTTGAAAGGATGCCACAAAGAGGAGGG